AGTGGTCTGGAGCAAATTTGCTTGAAAAACGTACAAAGATCTACAATTGGTGTAGAAGTTTCTTTGTCCAATAATGCTCTAACTCCAATCGGTATCAAACGTTGCATAAGAATGTGATAGTCATGAGATTTCAACCCAATAATGTTAGTATCATTATCTACCACTTTCTTACTGATGTTAGATCCAAACCCATCAGGGAATTTAACATCTCTTATAAATTGACAAAAGATTTTGCGGTCGGGTTTCTTGAATGAGTACCTTACATGTGGTCTAGTGAACTTGTTACCCTTTTTTGCAACCATTGATTACGCCGGATATTCAGATTTCTCAAGTCCTCACGTGCATTTGATGTGTCTTTACTCTTATCATTCATCATAGAAGTACCCAAAAGACTCTCACCCACATTTTTCTCGACATGCATCAAATCTATGTTGTGCTTCAGCTGCAGAGAAGACCAATACTCGAGCTCGAAAAATATGCTACATTTCGACCAGTTCAACTCGAATCCTTGCCGATCCATGTTTGCCTTGAGAATGTTAGGATGTTTACCCGGTTTACGAAGTATTAGACGACCTTGTTGCTCTTGTATGTCTTCATTAGTAAAGTGTCTCGGAGTGGGTCTTGTCTCGGGTTGCCCGTTAAATTTCAAACTCATCCTTAATGGATCATCAGCATCTAAGAACCGACGATGACCGATATAAACGACTTTATTTACTGCACGGTACGAAGGAGTGTCTTCATTGCAAGTCGGACATGCTCTATACCCTTGTCCGCTCTAGCCCGATAAACTACTACGAGCTGGAAAGTCATTTATTGTCCATAACAACATAGCTTTCATCGTGAAGAATGTGTCTGTCGCTGCGTCTTTAATACGTACGCCTGATTGCCATAAAAACTTAAGCTCTTCCACTAACGGCCTAAGGAAAACATCTATGTCCTTTCCAGGCGCTTTAGGGCCGGGAATCAACAAGGCTAACATGAATGATGACTCTTTCATACAAAGCCATGGTGGCAAATTGTATGTGGTGAGTACAACCGGCCACGTACTATGTGGATTACACATGTTACCAAATGGATTAAAGCCATCAGCTGCCAGCCCTAGACGTACGTTGCGAGGTTCGCTCGAGAAGTCAGGGTAATCTACATCAAATTTTTGCCAAGACTCTCCATCAACGGGATGACGCATCACACCATCTTCTGATCTCCCAGTACTATGCCATATCATATTTTTAGAAGTGTACCGTGAACAATACATACGGCGTAGTCTAGGGGTCACTGGAAAGTACCGTAACACCTTATGAGCCACTTTCTTACCCTTGGTGTTTTTATCAATCCACCGACTCTCTTTACAAACGGGACAAACTTGCAATGACTTGTGTTCCTTCCAGAAGAGAAAACAATCGTTTTTGCACACATGAATTGACTCGTACCCCAAACCTAACTTCTTTAGTTTCTTTTTTGCTAAATAATATGAACGAGGAACCTTGTTGTCTGGTGGAAATGCCGAATGCAACAACTCAAGGAGTTGATCAAATGAACTATCAGTCCATTTGTTGTTGACCTTCATATGCATCAGATTTGCTAAAAAATCAAGGAAAGAAAACGTACAACCAGGATATAACTTGGTTTCGACTGCCTCTAACAACTCTTCAAAATCATCATCGACACCACTACCCCCTGTATTCGAGGTTCCTTCATCGAGGTTTGTATCATTTTCTCTCGACTCCCACATAACATCGTCAATAACATCAGCCATCTCGTTGCTTGGCGATACGACATCTACAACTGGAGGGATTAAAGGTTCACCGTGATATATCCATGTGTCGTATGATTGACTGAAACCATATATACAAACATGACGTCTCATTGCTTTCGGATCCATGAAGTAACGATTATCACATTTCTCACACGGACATCTGGTTTCACCTTTACAATCTAGGTGTAACATGGATCTCTCGACAAAAGAGTCGAGTCCTAGCTGGAACTCGGGAGATTGACGATGTAGATTAGTAGTCCAGCTATTATCAATAGACATGATGCAACTGAAACATAATTTAGTGTTTAAGGTTTACTCTACGGGAAACGAAAATCAAGTAGTGTATTCATAAAGTTGATGATTCAAAAAGTACCCCAACATGGGAACACATGAACAAATAATCAGAAATGGATAAAGTATTAAGAAAGTATATATATATATATATATATATATATATATATATATATATATATATATATATATATATATATATTAATTTAGTTTAATTTTTTAAACTAATTTTATTTTATTTTAATATTAACATTAACTTGATTTTAAAACTACTTTAATTTGATTTTACAATTAATTTATTATTTTTTATTGATTTTTTTAAAATTAATTTAATTTTATTTTATAATTAAATTAAAATTACTAGAAGTATGTTGCTATTAATAACCTAATTAAGCTAAAGTTGTAATGACCAACATCAAGTCACTAAAAGTATGTTACTATTAAGTTGGTTTTATAATTGATTTATTTTGATTTTATAAAGGTAACTTAATTTGATTCTAAAGATAAGTTAATTTGATTTTCTAATTAAACAAAATCAAACAAATGTATATATACATCCAATTTCAATATCCAATTTCAATTTCATGCCAAATTTCATTTTTAAGCCAATGTGGTATAAACAAAAATTACAAAAACATACACAAATTTCATTTTTAAGCCAATGTGGTATAAACAAAAATTTAAAAAACATGCCAAATTTCATTTTTAAGCCAATTTCATGCCAATTTCAATAGGGTAAACTTTGAAGATTTTAATTGAAGTTTCTTTGTTTAAGACTAGACTATTAATTATTTTTTAGAGCAAGGGACTAAAACCGTATAAATCAGAAGTTGAGGGGCTGATCATATATATTTTGTAATGGAGTTTGATTAAATCAGGAGGTTTGATACCTCCTGCTTCTTCCTCATCGATCCTTCATGGCGCAAGAAGCAAGCAGAGAAGCAAGAAAAAAAAAATACTAATGGTCTTGTGTTTATAGGTGATCTAATAACAATTCAAGAGCCAATTTCCCACATATAGCATCAATTTCTATATTCATGAACAGATAATAAGCAAAAAAAAACAAAAAAAATACGAATGGGTCTTGTGTTTATCAGTAATATAACAACAATTGAAGAGGCAATTTCTGACATAATCAAACCAATTTATCATCCAAAACAGAAAAATACTAGCAAATAGGAGGAATTTCACCTTGAATGTGGGCAATTTCGGAATTGAGCTCAATGGTAGCCGGTAACGGGGGAAGGTGTGGCAGTCTTGTGGTGGCAGGAGGGCTAGCACCGCCTTAAATCTTCTTCCTCCACTTAGTCGACTGGTCCAAGATTTGTTGAGAAGCAGCAACAAGAAACGAGAGCGAGAGACGGAAAGAAACAGCAGGAAAATGTCGCGGAAAAGGGAACTGGAAAGGGGTTATCTGCACGGATATTAGCGGCGACAGGCAATAGCGGCGACGCTAGAGTATTAGCTTCGACAATAGGGCAATTAGCGGCGACACCTTGGAGGGAAAAGTCAGCGCGTTTTCGCTTTCCTCTACAACCGTTGGATTGAAAACAGATCGGACGGATGGGGGTAATTTGACGCGGATCGCCGTTTTCGAGTATTACTGGCGACGCCTTTAACGGCGACAAGGGGCAATAGCGGCGACATGTAACGCGTCAATTACATGTCGCCGTTATTGCCCCTTGTCGCCGCTAAATGCGTCGCCGGTAATGCCAAGATTTATTGTAGTGCCTATTATTCATAGACTGATGACAAGTTTCCAAACGAAGGTTAATATATAGAAACCTGCCTAATACAAAGGAGAAAGAATTAAACAAAAAACATTTGAGAATTCATTTCATTAAAACAACACGTACAACCACAAATCCCACGTAATATATATTAATTTTTGCAATTATGCATAAAGTGAAAGTAATTAACTAATTATGTTAAATTTTTATAGGTACAATCAATTTCAATCTTTATATTGCAAAATACATAACTTCAAGCCATATGTAAACCTAAAAGTTAACAAAACCATAGAAAAAAAAACAAAACAAAAGATGTTAGGTTCCATTGTATGAACAACAATTATTAAAAAAAATGCTTATTGGTATTGAACGTAGACCTGCATACTTACGGTCCCAGACCGGTATCGGGTCGGTTTCGAAACAGTCAGATCTTTTTATGGTTGGTTTCGGAGTGGTCGATCCGGTTTTTTTCGGTCCGGTCTTTTTTCAGACCGTTCTCTTTCGGTCCGATCTGTTTTGGGACCGGTCTCGGCCTTTTTTGGTCCGGTCTCGCGGTCTTACCATGCGCCGTTTCCGGTTCGATTTCGGGTTTTTCGGTCGGTTTTCGTGTTTTTTCGGCTCGGTTTTGGTATTTGTTGGTTTTTTTAGTTTCAGTTTCGAGTTTTTCCCTTAACAAATGTGTGATTAACAACAAAATAATAGATTAAACTTTATTAAAAATTATACACTAAAGTTTAATAAAAGAAAAAAAAAATGAAGTTAAATAGTGTGAGATTAAAAATTATGTAATTAACAAAAAAATGATATATTTGTAAACTTTGGTTAGCGGTCTTTTTTTAGATCGGTCTCATACCAGTGTCGGGTCGGTCTTAGACCGGTCTTGTTTCGGTCGCGAAACGGTCAGGTCTTTTTTGGGACCGGTCTCAGAACGGTCTGGTTTTTCTTGGACGGTCTTGAGTCGGTCTTTTTTCGGCCCGGTCTTTTTTAGGTCCGATCTTTTTCCGGTCCAGTCTTGTTTTAGACCAGTCTGGTCTCGATCTTTTTTCAGGTTCGGTTTCGAGTTCGGTCCGAGACTGGTCCTTTTGTGGAGGTCTAATTTATCGTCCAAATGGTAACCACATTATGTGTACAAGGGTCCTCCCCCTAACACCATTTATGACCAACCAATCTATTGAATAAAAAACAAAAACAAAAAGATAAAAATATACATAAATTTCTATGATATTCCACACAATACACAATACACATGCTTTGCTACTTCCTCATAGAAAGAAAAAGAATCAAACAACTATTTTGTTTTCTTATATTATAATTAACAAACTAAATTTCTAATGCCATAATATTTTTTGGTGTTGGATCCTTTTCGTTCCTTTTCTTTTTCGGCAATAACAAGGAAGATGTGGCTTTTGCCAAGGTCACCTTTCTAACCAACAACTCCCATCTTCCCTCTTCCTTCTTGTTTTTCATATTTTGTGCCTTTAATGGCCTGAAAAAAAATACATTTAAAAAAAATCAGTAAATGATAACAAAGTGATTTATTGTCAAACATTGTTAAAAAAAAAAAAAAGGCATATTGAATTTATTTTGATTTATATATCGTGTCTTTTATGCGGAAAATTATTGCACATAATGCTTTTGTCTACCAAAATTATTGCAACAACTTTCTCAACTACTCTACACATGTTAAACACCTGTCTTCTAGAACCCAAATCGGGTACACGGGTACCCGGTCCGGGTCAAATCTACCCGACCCATTAGAATTTATGTAAAAATTTGAAAGAAAACTATGGTTACCTGCAAAGGGGAACGTTACAAGTTGAATCAGGTAGTTCGCAGATGGAAGAATGGAGTTTGAAAAGTTGCCACATCCTTTTGCACCTAACACACCCTCCATTCACTCTCTTCTTACAGTTTGCCACATGTTGAATCGAGAGCTGCAAGCCTTGACATGTTGAGAATTTGCTACATGGAAACATGTTCTTGGTGGGTTCTTTGTTGCATGGTCCTACACTTATGCAACCTTCTGTGCAAATATGTTCTAAACAATCCATGGCTTCACTCAATTGAATATACAAGTTCTGTTCTTTCCTACGCTTCCTGTTTCTCTTCCTCAACTGCACATTAATTTAATCCGAATCAATAATCAGATAGAAATCAATTTATTAACAGTATTAATGTTTGATTATAGGAAATGTAAATTTTTTTTTATTAAGACCACAAGAAACTACTCTCTTTATACTTTGTTTTCTTGAATAGTTTTAACAGAATACTCACCGATTCAGATTCATCGATGACCTGAAGGATTTCGAGCTCGAGGAAAGGATCATTGGTTTGAAGAAACTTCCAGCCTTCAGTTTTCTCAACGGCTTTAAAACCTTTAGACACGAGTTTTACACATTTGAGGTAAAGATCAGGTGCGTCGCAGAGTCTCGCAAGTTGAAGAACATCAACTACGTTCTCAATTGTTAACCGTTCGATTAAGGCTTTGCTACAACGCGATTTCAGTTGTGGGACCAGGTAGACATGAGAAAGCGCCAATAGATGAATCCCGAATTTCTCCATGTCGTCTTCTGTGCACCTGAAAATGATGGCGTTTTGAACAATTAGAAAAAGTTACCGGCGGCGTCGCATTTTAAATTACTGGCGGTGCTCGGCCTAAAGGGATAACTCTCAGTTTACATTAGTGGTGGTGCCAGATGTGCCATGAAGAATGGACGGTGCAGATGTTTATTAATAAATATCATTTTATTCCACGGTTAACATTTAAATAAATCTTTGAAATAACAGAAAAACGATTATAACAATATAATATACGAATAATAAATAATAAATATATAATATACGAATAAAATGGTTGGCTTGTGGTTGGGAACTAACTTGTTTGAATAAAGGAATCCGACGAACATCTCGACGGCGTCACACGGAACGCCGAGTATGGGAACAGTCTTGTCGGAGCTCCGATGCTTTCTCGGTTTATCGATTATGCTTTTCAACACCGTCGAAGCTGATGCCTGAATGCACATAGCAAACAAATCACAAATTAATATCTTAAGATCCTTGAATCTCACAACTTGAATGAATGCAAACGACCTATTCGATTGGTTGAAAATTTTAATTGATGTTAAAGACATACAAATCTACCGGAAAAACGACAACTGTTCCCGTGAAAATCACATCGCCGGGTTTAGTTAGAGGCTTTTCCGATTGACTGTTTGTCTTCAAATGAAGAACTTTATTTTATGAGTTCTTTGGTGCGACAACATTTTCGATCTTCAATGAATGAGTGATTACCAGAATGTTAGCATGCGCCGGAATCCTTCGACCACCAGAAGTTAGAATTTGGATATAGGTATCCGTGGGTTCACCGGAAGCATTGTCGGATTCAGTAGGAGATGCCGGTCTTTTACACATCTTGCTGGAAAATCAGTCGTTTACTATCGTTTTTCGTTTAAATTGGTATGAAAGTATAGGGAGTAGTCCAAACTTTTCGCCGATGTATTAGATTCAGGCCTAGGATGTCTGATTTTATAGACAGCTCAAAGCCAACCATGTTTAAAAGATCTCAAAGTACAAGTTCGGCCCTTAAAATATATACAATCATTCAAATTTAGTCCTTTCAGACTATATTTTTAGTATATTAACCAAAAACCAGACAACAATGAAAATGAGGGAACTTTTTTTTCCTTCCATATTTTAGACCTTTTCCTTATTTTCTTATAACAATAATCCTTGTATATCTTTAAAAAATGATAAACCATGTGAATGACTTACATCAATCATCCTAATGCCCATATGAAATCAATTGCGAAACACTCAATGTTTTGGGTGTTACAGTATTTGAACTATGTATTGCAAAATATATAGCCAAAAACGTTTTTTAACTTTCTTGTAGGAAATACATTTTTTTTTAATTTTGCTGAATTGAAAAAAGAAAACTTGGTCAGTTTTAACCAAACAAGTTTTCTAAATTTATACTAAAAATGAAAATGAAAATCGATAGAAAATACATATCCACGAAATAACATAAAATGGAGACATTGAGAACATTGTTTTTTAAATAGTTATTAAATAGTGGAAAACTATTTTCTAACTTTGCATTTTCTTTTAGAAAAGATTACTGAAAAGGTAGAAAATTTTCGACAATCAAATGGTAGAAAATTGTTTTTGGTTTCTTGGAAAAGTTTTTTAAGAGAAGATTTACAATTTTCATTTTCAGTTTTTAACATAAAATCTTTAAAACGTGTTTGATTAAAACGGGATGAGTTTTCATTTTTCAATTTTGAAATTAAAAAACAAGTTTGGATGTTTATTTTCTATATTTTTCATTTACCAATTTTTATTATTTAAAATAAGACAATATCTAACATATTTCCTATATAATTAGAAAATATTGTGAGTTGTTATTAAGGACACGTCCAACTAAAGTACTCGAATGCAAGAATTACAGAACCGGTCCCTATGTTATTAATGTAAAGAATTATAAAAATGGTCTTAATGTCGTAATAAAATTACAGAAAAGGTCCATGTCTCTTAATATTTTGCATAAAATAGACAAAATTACAGAAATGGTCCCTGAGTAAAAGCATAAAATATAGAGATTGCATATTTTATAGGGAAAATGACGTATAGGCCCTATAATGTTTTTAGGGTTTACCCATTTAGCCACTTAATTTATTTTGTGGTTTAATAAGGGAACGAAGTATTTGTTACCTATCAATATAATCTCTTTCACCTATTGTAGCCGGTATACGTTGCCACATAAACATAGCCTAACACGTAAGCGATGACATGGCAAGAATTTAAAGCGTTGAACTACTGCAACGACGTCGTATTGAAGGCGAATCGTCAGGAGCAAGGATCGACTGTTCAAGCGCCTCCATATAAAATCAAGACTTCCTTGACCTAAAATGGCACATCTGCAAACTTCATTACCCCAATCTCGTCTCTAAGTTTACTCCAAAATGCCTTCGATCGCACATGCAGAACATAGCTGGTCTCCAAACTACCGCCGTCATATGGATGAGAATCATTCGAATGGTGTAACCAACGAAGACATGGCCATCAATCTACTGCAAACCCAGCTGGAACTGTCTCTTATACGAGAGGACTTCCAAGACCAGTTGCGTGAGCTCCGTTAGACAGTTAATCGAGACTTGGATGCCATGAACCATGAGGTCGATGACGTTCGCGCTGGTCAGTTGGATATCTCAAATATGGTTGCTAATCTTAAAAATCATTTCGTTTCTTTGCAAGGAGCATATGTGAAGATGGTCTTCCAGCACAACAAACGTAAGAAGCTGAAGTATTGTATTGGGATTGTTGGTGTTGTTACTGTGTCTGTGGTGACGTATATGTTCTTTAACTAAAAAAAATTGTGTAGGTTGAAGCATTTCAGTCCTGGGTTTGTGTTTTGGTGTGTTATTTATGTTGTTTAGTGTGTTGCTGGTATTAGTTTGTGATGTTGGTGTGTAGATTTGGTGGTGGTGTTGCTTGGGCTGCTGCTGGTCATCGTTTTTTGATGAAGTTTTTTGTCGATGATCTGTAATAGGTTATTCAATAGCAGAAAGTGATGTAAACAAACCCATGACTGAAATGTGTTTTAATATGTTATTATTAAAAATATTTGTCTTACACCTGTATTTGTATGTGTGCATGAAAGAAAGAAACATTTGGGGATTATATATGTTTCAAGAACTTGTTCCCAAGCCAATCATGTGGATGTCCATCGACTGGGAAGGGACCACAAGCCAAAGCAAAATGAATATGCCTTTTTAATGCACATAGACAGGGACCACAAATGGTGCAGTTTGGGAAAAGGGACAAAAGTAAACAATATCTTTGCACACGATGCATTGTGTCTGCTTGTCTGCAAACCTTTTTTGGAAAAAAAATATATAGGGAAGTTTTGTAAAGATGGACTTTTTTCATGTTGAATGGATTAACTCACAAGTACCCTGTTTTTGACAATGACTTAATTACCCCCACACCCAAAATGGTCAATTTACAATGACTTAATTACCCCCACATCCAAATTGGTTAATTTACAATGACTTAAATACCCCCACATCCAAAATGGTTAATTTACAATGACGTAATTACCCCCAAACCCAAAATGGTCAATTTACAATTACTTAATTACCCCCACATCCAAATTGGTCAATTTACAATGACTTAAATACCCCCACATCCAAAATGGTTAATTTACAATGACGTAATTACCCCCACATCCAAATTGGTCAATTTACTTTGTAATGACTAAAATGCCCATAATACCCCTACATATTCGTGGCACAGGACAACAATAACATTCCATATAACAACTTACCACACAACAAAACAACATAGTTGACCATAAAAGAACATACGTAGATCATTTGTTTATTGCAACATACATTCACTACAAATAACAAACAATTATCTAATCCAAATCCATGGCCGTTGCAAGACTGGTACCTTCACCTCCCGTATTTTTTGCAAGCTTCATTTTAATGATTCTTTCTGACTTCTTTCGTTTGTTAGGCGGTTTAACATGCTTGACTTGATGAACACGAGCATTGACCTTCACCCCTTCCTCCCGTCCATTGACTCCCACCATCCGCTCTTCCTTACCAGTCCTCTCCAAAGCATCACTAGCAACTACCATTACCTCATCATCCCCAACCCCTGTGGCAACGTTTACAGAATCCTGCGTAGGTATAGTTTTTTGTTTCTTTTTTCCATTTTGTTTGGATGTCCCTTCACCTTTACTACAAGTTGCTTTGTTGTGTCCTTTCTCCTTACATATACTATAAGAAACTTTCTTCCCTGCCTTGGAGATAGTGTGTTTTCCCATCCGTTCAGAAGCATCTCTTCTTCTCTTTATTGTTGGCCTGCCTGGCATACGTCTTTTCAATGGAGGCAAATGGGGTATCAATTCAGTAGAAGACCACAAATTTTTTCCATTCATACCATGGATTGGCTGTTTGTAAGTATTATGCTATAATGCAGCCAAGTACATTGGATCTATATATGGACCATCAGGTGTGATATTTAAGTAGGCTAAGGTGGCAACTGAGTGTACGTAGCCATATCCATTAAGTTGCCATAGCCTGCAGCTGCATTCCTTTTTTTCAACATCAACAGTAAACGCCTCGTCCATTTTCCTTGCCTCAAACTTCATCCCCCCACAAGATATGACCTGCCAATGCCTACATATATACATGAAAACCGCAAATATCATGAGATGTGAAGAGTAAGGTACTAATGTAATTGGATAAATGTACAAACCTTTGCTCAGTCTGGAGCATATTCAACCGTATTCTGATATTTGGACAAACAGAATAACCATTCCATCCTTCTCCGGTTAGTTTCATAGTCACCATCCTTTGCATCACATATATACGAATGTCCTATAACATGCTTAGTATTGGTTTCTTCCGGGCATCCAAAATCACACTATTAAAACTCTCTGAAAAACCATTCTCTACTGACTCACAAGAATTATGAACTCTGAAAAAAGCCAAAGACCAAGTCTTTGGATCTCTATCCATAAGATGCACAACTGCTTCCGGATTTAATTTTCCAATCTCTTTCATAACTACATTAAATTGTGCTTCAGTTGTTGCCTTGCTCGCTTTCCAAAACATATTTTCAAACTTGGATCCACTAAATCTTTCTAAAATTCGCATAGATATGTCTAGCACACTGCCTATGTTCGGCTGCTGGAAATACTTCCTTTACTGCCTAAATCAAACCCTACATAAGTCACATTAATGTTTGAAATTAGAATAGCAATTAGTAATTTTAGAACATGCACTAGTTTTGAACCGTACCTTGTGTTGATCTGAAATTAGAACCATACCATGTCCATCATTCCAACATTGCAAATCTTCTGAAAGAGTTTCTATGAACCATTTCCAATTCTCTTTGTTTTCCACACTAACAACTGCCCAAGAAATCGGGAATATTCCATTGTTAGCATCTCTACCCACAACACAAAGCAACTCCCCTTGACAAAAACTTTTTAGAAAACAACCATCCAGGTTAATGATCCTCCTACATCCTCCCCTCCATCCCTCTTTTACTGAAGCAAAACATATGTATATTTTACTGAAATAATTCTTACCATCAGGCATTGAATCAACACAAATTTTAACTGTGGATCCAGGATTTGATCTTCTAATCTCCTCACCATATGACCATATTCTTGCATAATTTTCAGCTATTATGCCTTCAGCTAGACTCAATGCATAATTCTTGGCTCGCCTACACTGACTCGTACTCACATTAATCCCAAAAGCGGTTTTTACCTCCTCTATAAGTAATCGGACGCTCATCTTTTGATTGTTATAAAATTGGTGCTTAAAGTGGGTCCCTATCCATTTGTAAGTCACAATTGATCCGAATTTGTAATTTTTTGCACAATTATGCTCACCGATAAGAGACTTTATCTGGAAAGACTTATCATCACTCATCCAAGAACCCTAAAGCCTAAAAGTACATTTTCCATCACAGCATTTGACAAGTAATCGTCTAGTATCATTCTTCACAAAACATAATTGATAACCATTCGCGACAGCATAGTTACAAAGCATGTGTTTCAATTGCTTAGGACTCTCAAACCTCATACCTAAAACAGGTTCCTGCTCCTTCCAATTGAGCTTATCATTGAAAATGTTTGGCAATTCGGGATAAACATCTTCATTGTCACCCATGTCTTCTTCTACTGCCCCACCTACACCTGCTTTCTCGCCCATGTCTACCTGAATCTCATTACCCTTTATAAAAAAAATGAGGCTTCTGATGGTCATCCCCTCATCGTCATTGACATCCTCATCCTCGTCGTCATCATCGTCGTCATTCGCTTCCTCATCGTTTGTGTCACCCACATCCTGATGCCCTGTTGCAACTTCCTTAACCAGTCCTGCACCATCAAGTACTTCTAACTGTATGTTACCAACAAACTCGTCTTTGTGTTCATCCAACCATTCCTATATGTTACTATTCCCAAAATGGTCTACGTACATAGGGAGTATAACACCATATTCATATGCAATTGCTATGAAGTCGTAATAATCAGGGTCATTGCAAATTAGAGTCAAACCTTTTGGAAAATCAATATCAGGTTGGCAGTAATAGAGCTTCTCACACTTTTCCCCAGTGAACCTTTCGATGAACGCAACACACCCATCCTTGTCCATTCCTGCGAAATCGGTGTCCGAAAACCTCTGAGTAATTCCACCGGTGTATCGTATGGGGTTTCTGGCGAACATTCCTTGGAAGTGGACATCTACTTGTAAGAATACAGGTTCCATGCTTGAGGATGTAGAAGCAGCTCACAAAAAAGGGTTTATCGATGAAGTGTTGAACAGTGGAGGTAAAAGGGTTATTTTATAAAGCATATACCGACAGTAAGAAGGAAGCGACTAATTAATGACATGGCATTAGACGAAAGTCACAGTCAGCATCCGATGTGGTGTTAGTAGAAGGAGGTGGACTTAAAATGATCGGCTAACCCCTTCACAATTGAAATAAGGACTTAATCGACCCGACAAATAGTAATTTGTTCCCTTATTAAACCACAAAATAAATTAAGTGGCTAAATGGGTAAACCCTAAAAACATTATAGGGCCTATACGTCATTTTCCCATAATCTTTGTGTAATACCAGATTAGTAAAAACTATAAAAAGGTCACCGTGATACAAAAATAGTCCTTGTGTACTTATATTTGTAGGAAATAACCTTTTGTATTAGCCTATTGAATCGAAAATACATTTTTATATTATTTAAATAGTTTATAAATAAATTTTACCCTTAAACATTATGTTAAATGTATTTTTAAAATTAAATATTTGATAGGTGGGGATGGGTGCGAGTGGAAGTGTAACATTCAGTTTCAAAAAATTTCTTATTTTGAGATTATGGGCAATAAATAGATCGATTAAAGACATTGGTCTTTAAGGGAATAGGGTTTAGACCCTATTAGATATTGATAATATTGGTTATATGGTCTAATCCCTTGGGTTGTGTTTTGGAGCCAAAGGGGTAAAATGGGAAAGTTATATGTTAGGCTTCTTGCATTGATTATGGTTTTTAGTTCGACATGTGTTAAGCTATAACTAACTATATAGAAGTGTGGGATCGTCAATACCTTTCCGTGGAAATAAAGATTGCTGAAAATGAAGTTGAAACGAAGAAGTTATAGTTGTTTGAAGTTGAGATGGATTTGGGTGAAAAGTCGTGGCTACGAGATTAGGATCAGAACCCACGGCATAGCAATCACTCAGGGCCAAGCCCATGATTATGCAGTTTTGGGCCTTTTAGCAGCCTACACCACTTCTAGGACCTCTTAGGAGAAACCCTAGCCTCCACCTTCAAGATTTAAGTTTCTCTTCTCTCCTCTCTCCTCTTTTGGGTGCTTTTTAGGTTATTTTGATGAATTTTGAAGATCAAGAAGGTTATTTTGGTTGCAAGGAATGATGCTTCAAGTTTGGATCCATCAAAGACACTTCATTTCTAGACTATTTTAAGTATAGAGTTCCAATCTTGCTATCTAGTTCTTTAGATTTTGTCATTTGGGGTTTTTGACACTTTTGGTCCATTTTATGGGTGATCTTCGAGTTGAGTGGACTCCAAAATCTTTTGATCAGTTTGGAATGTTTCTTGGACTTCATGCACTAAGAAAGTTATGATCTTTTGCCTTCCCTTTTAGCCATGCAAGTTATCTTGGTCCTTTAGGCCATTTTGGTGTATTAAAGTTTCATTTTGAATGATTGAGGCATTATTATAGATAATTCTGGAAACTTTATCCCTCTAGACATCTTGTTGATTCATATTTGGAAGTGGAAGATTTGGACTTAATGGATTAAGATGAGAAAAATGCATTTTTGCGCCCATTTGAGACTTAAAGTCTAAATCTTGGTGGTTTGGACCTTCCTTATGGATAAAGTTCCATTATGACATTTGAAAGGATTCATATATGGTTTTGGAGCTCTTGAAATCGAAAGAAAACGGATTAAGCTCGTTTGAGCTGTTCAGACTAGTCCCTATGGCATGGCCTTAGGCTGCCACGACGTGGCGACTGGAGAATCAACGACTATTTTGGCATTTAGTGCCCATGAAATTGCCAAGGAAGGCTATGGCGTGGAGAGCTGTTGTTGGAAATTTTGACTTAGCTTTAACCGTTGACTTTTTTTGACCAGTTTCCCTTGGTCAAACTTGTGTAGAATTGAGTATTTGACTAATGATTGGTTTCGGTTTGACTTTAGGAAGCTTGGGTTACCTGTTTAGTTTCTGAGGTGGAGGTTGAGCTTCTAATGAGTAGTTCAGGTGAGTTTTCCTCACTGTATTTGTGGGTCGATGACACTAATGTCGGTCCACTGGATTATGTATCAATGTATATTGGATGATGTTATGTTGGTTATATGATATACCGGTAGATCAGTATGATTACTTGTGTTTGTTGGTTATATGTTAGAATGGTAGATCTGTATGAATACATGTACTTGATAGTTATTGATTGTTATTGTATATGTCGATATGTTATGGTTTTGTTAGGTTGGGGCGGTCCTGCTTTGTGCTGAAGGCCAAGATACCCTGTGGGCGGTCCGGATAGGTTGTAGGCCCTGCGAGGCGGTCCAGGCCGACAGCCCGGAGAGCGGCCTGGATAGTTGGTAGGCCATGTGTGGCGGTCCAGTCAGGATGAAGGCTCATGTATGCATGTTGTTATCTGTTTTGGTTGTGTGGGGTACTTGGGGAAACTCACTAAGCTTTGGCTTATAGTTTGATTTCATGGTTTTAGGTACATCTGATGATCGGGGCAAAGCGAATGCATGATTATGCACATCATCCTTGGATATTTTATTGATAACTAATGTTGGGATACTTTGATTAACGATTAT